TTTTTTTTTTAGAATGCAAACGACATCGATAGTAAAACACTTCAGGGCTTGTGCGGCAGCGGGTTAGTTCTCTGAAAATCCCATTAAAGCAACTGATGCCCTTCAACCACACCGTTCCTGCTGTTTCCTCGTCTTATGCCCAATCTGACCAACACAGTTGCAAGTGAACAAAAAACTGAAGGTCTCTGACCACTTCCAAGGACTCTGCAGTCCTGTTTCATAGTGCCATTAGAAGGCAAAAAAACTAGATTAATGTCGAGACCTCAAAAATTGTCATGACTGGTAATTCTTTCACAAGTATCATTCAACTCAATGTTTCGACTAAAATTGACTACTAACTAAATTTGACCAAATATCAGTCTTTCTACTAATTTCAACAAATTCCTGTTGTGTACCAACATAATTTTAAATATATATTATCGTCAGCTTTCTTCTCATATTCTAGTCTACAAACTGTGCAGATTAATTGTCAGTTATGTGCATGAAAATACGTTGAAAAATAATTAAAACCGATTTATCTTTGCCTATAAGGAAAAAACCACGTAATCAGAAAGTGCAAACAAACAAAAGTTAACAAACCATATCCGTATTTCATCAAAATTTAAAAAAACTCGAGATCACAGTTAATTGTTTCATAAAAGCAGTGGTGCATGAGTAAAAAGGAAAATGAATACGAACAAAACCTGCAAAAGGAAAAAAATTATATAGAATTTCTATAGAACTTTAGAAACAGAAGGAGAAAAAAAAAACAACGAAACATTAAACGAATCCAAAAATACAACTTGGTACCTGCTCTTATCCACTTTTTACAACTACAACCTTAAAAACTTGAACAGCCACTTTCAACAGTGAACAATATTCACAATCATAAAACAGTGTTTTTGGTTAGACCAAAAACTTCTCAGATTGAACTATAAGCTAAGGCATTTATGATAACTACTGAACACTTTGAATCCAAATCTTCTATCACACGGATGACTTCGGTTAGCAACAGATAAAGCAATTTTCTTCTTTAAATAAACCTATAAAAGTAAAAAATATTATGAGAAACACGACAGTGGGAGGTCACCGACAGTTCTCTGAAATAATTATTGAGCTTTACACATCTGTGTTCTCATCTAGTCGAAAGCCATCTCAATGTCGTCGTCCAACAAATCAGCAAACTGGAAGTTGACAACGCCGTGGATCACAGACATGATTTTTTGGGCAGTACTTGCTAAAAAAAGACAGAACTGTTCTTTTGATGTAAAAAATCTCATGAAATTATACAAGAGTTCAAATTTTAAATGATTATAGTACGTCGATTACTATCGGTTTCCGACTTGATACCAAAACTACCGCAAGCAAATGACCAGTGAATGGTAAACTGAATAAAATAGGCCAAGTGATCGTACCAAACTCTGGTTGCTGATGAGAAATATAAAACTGTATAATCTCCATAAATGTCGAATCTTGTCTCCACTCATCCCTGGTGAATGGATCACGTGCCATGATCTCTATTGCTCGCAAAAATGCATAACATAATTCAGGACTCGCAGCCGAACGTAAAACATTGTTGATTTTTGATTCCCTCAAAAACAAGCAATAAAACCAATCAAACTAGTAGTGCATCAACGTATAGCCGCAAATATCGAAGATTAGAAAGAAAAATGACGAAAAAATGATATTACTAGAAAAAACAGCTAAAAATAGCTAAATTTACAGACGTTACTACGAAAAGACAGAAATCACCTGATAAGAGGTTGTAACTGCGAATGGAAACGTTGAGAATCAACAATTTTATCCATTATTACAAGTACTATCTCCACTGTCTTCATCAGTTTTGCTCGTTGCTGTTCGAAAGAACATGATTCCTAAATTCAGCGATACAAATAAGCCTATTTTGGAACAGTTTAATACAGAACCCCTTTAAACAATATAAAACGTTTATCAGTAAGGCTTACTTTTAACTTGGCTGACTGCAGTAAAACACTTAATAAAACATCCACAAAATTTGTATTTGCTAACGAGTGAGCATCAAACAACTTGTCCAAAAGTGATGAGTCAATCAATCTTTGTACGATCTGAAAAAAATAAAAAAACAGTTCTTTTACTTTTTTCTATAGCTTATATAAGCCGTAGTTATCATGAATGAAAGAACTCAGAAGGAAAACAAAACGAAGTGTATTTTTAATAAATAAAAAGTAAAAATCATTCAAAATACATTGGTATTTACAACAAAAAAAGAAAAGAGAACACAGAGACGAGAACAACAGAATTTAGAGCACTTTAAAAAGCCTTACAAGCAATAAATCGTTGCGATTATCAATTTGAATATCAAATATTTGGAACTGGATTCTACTACGTTGCTCAAACCGTACTGGTATCAGTAAATGTTCCAACAGTATGTTCAATGCTCCATCAATTTCGACAAGCTGTAAATTCACAGAACCATAAGCTTGAAGTTTTAGTTGGCTCAAAGAAAGTTTTAAACTGCCAGCGAATTAAAACGGATGCTTCTTGCATCTACCTGCTTCCTAACGAAGTCACGTTTCTTCTCCAAACCGAACGACGATGTCAAATTTTTTAATGCGAAAATCCCATTCTCAACAATCTCGTAAGTGATCAATGGACTATCCGGTTGCGGAACATAGTAGTGAAGAACATTAACAATACTTTCAACGCCTCGGTTAGTCACGAGAAATTCCTGGAAGCAAATGTTGACTATCTAAAAAATGAACAAAAGTAAGCCGAAAAAGATTTCAAAAAGATCTGTATATCTGTTTCCGGTCAGTTAAGAAAATAAACCTTATTTGGATTTGGTGTACCATTCCGATTAGATGAAATAACATTGCCTAAAAATGCAAGGGAGTGTTTCATGAGTTCCGGCTCATTGGACCCTAGGATTTGTAGCACTTGCCAGAGTGGTCGAGTCAGTTCATTTTCCCGCAGCGAGTCAACATCACTCATCGCCGACAAGCAATCACTACACTCAACTAATAACCGAGGTGAACCATGTGAGAGTTTTTCAGCAAAAATCTGAAACCAGCAACATTCGAACAGCTCATTCTCATTCTTTCTTACGCCTATACATCACCCAAGTTTTCTAAAAAATGTAGAAGATTAAAAAGAAATTGCAATTCTATTTATTTTTTCCCACTAATTGAGATGAATGATACCTGAACTCCCCGCACTGCAACACATCTTTCCGCAATAAATTTATGTGAACTGTGCAGCATATGTCGAAGAGAATGTGCTGCATAATACATCACTTCTTCGGATGGTTCATTCAACAGAAACCACAACAGCGCTTCTATTCCGCCTTTTTCAGCAAAATATTTCTGCAAAGTTTTTGAAAAGATCAAAAATCAGCTATATGCTCTCAGCAAAATTCAATTTAAGAAAAATTTCCCCTTTACAGCTAATATTAGAAATAACGGTCCTAAAGTTTAGCATGAATCAAAGTATCAGTCTAGGCAAAATAATAACCTTCAAGGCGTCATCACAAAAGACCAATACCCGACTGATGTCAATAATAATTCGTTTACTTCGTTCACCAAGACGATGATCAAGCTTTGGTTTCGAAAAAGCACATAACATGCCTAACACCTGGTTCATGATCTAAAACATCAAAATAGTCAACCCCAAGAATACTAGGAAGGCAAAAACCACCAGAGCTGATGAGTTATTTGAGAATCCATCAATTCCGTAGAAATACTAACAATCAAACTAAAAAACTAATTGCAGGTCAAAAGTCATTAAAGTTTCAAAAAACAAAAAGAACACTGCGACAAGAAAAAAGTAAACAAAAAAACCTCAATTTTCTTTGAAAATTCCAGCCGAAATTTTCGCTCGTTTGCATACAACAATAAAGTGTGTAATATAACCGCGGCATAGTTGCAAAAATCATATTTTATAAATTGGCAGCTAAAAAAAACTTCGAATAAAATCCATATTTAAAATGATATTTTTGAACAGCACCATTTTTTTGAATTATTGTTTGCCAAATTTTTACGATCAGAAGGTGAAAAAAAATACAAATAAAAATATTAGACATTTTGAAATACATGTCAAGAAAAGGGGAAAAAAGACGACTTACTTAAATCGCCTGGCAAAAATTAAAATAACTTTCTCGGGGTTTTCCAAAAATACCTAAAAAAACTATATTTATTTAAATTAGTTTTTTTGCAGTCTAATGTAGCAAAAAATTAAGCGCGTAAAAAAAGAAAAAAAGTATATAATAAAAATGTTTGAATTTTTATTAGCGATTAGATTTAACTGTTGTTAAAATTTAGAAGTAAAAAAAAAGATAAAAAAAAAAAAAATGCAAAATAAACCTCTTTCAAAAGGCGAGAAATAATTGGTTTAGTGGAAAAAGTGTAAACTGCTGCCAAAAGAGCTCGTTTTACCTAAAAGCAGTGATCTATACTTCTTATTCGCACAGCCAAAATAAAAAAAAAAAATAAAGCATTAAAAATAGAGGAAAAAACTAGTTTCCTGAAACATCAGTAAACAGCAGGGATCTAAGACGATCGAAACATTTCAAGAATTGAACAAAAAAGACTGAATTTTAATTTTTTCTAAATTAAAGCTAAACTTCGTAAATGAACTGCAGCAAAACAAGACATTAGACTTGCTTCTTGGTCATCCGGTGCACTGTCTATCAAGACCAGAACACTGGTTAGGAAGAATTTTAACTTCTCATGCGGTAACCGAGTAAGGTCATACTGATTAATCAATGTGTACACCTTCCTTGAGATCCGTCTCAATGTTTCCTCATAAAAATTACCACAAAAATTCCTGCTCCTTAACGATTCCTAAAAGAAGAAAAAACTTTATAAAACTACTTTTTAAAAAAAATTTGTATCAACTATGTATCAAAAAGGAGAAGAAAAAAGAAATTGTCGAACTGAACTTTAGGCAGCCAAATACTTTACAGAAAACCTGCCTGAATCTTTGCAGTGACTTCATCAACCGTTTGCTCAACTCCAAGGAAATAACGACTACAGGTGGGGTCAATATTTTCAGCAAAAGAGGCCGTCGACGAAGCCGATGAGTACTGATTTGAACGCTGCTGTAAACGAGTAGCGATCAAATCAAAAAAGAAATTTATAGAAGAAATTAAAATATTTTCGGGTTTGTTAAATGATGAGATTAAATTACTACTCGGTCCAAATTTAATTGCGATCCAAAAATTTGAAAATAAATAAGACCACCTCTACTCATCAAACTAATGCATAATCACCAAACATACGATAACATATTCAAAGCAAAGGACTTAACTACCATTCTGCTCTCTTTTAAGCAGCACGTCAAAGCCCTAAAGAGTCTTAAAAACAATGGTAGATACTTGAGTATGTAGCGTCAATTCCATACTAAACGATTAATAAGTATATTTTCCTCTAACTCAGTTGAATCAGAAAAAAATCTCTAATAAAAACACTCAACTTTTAGATGGCTAAATCTATCCTATTATTGGCAACGATAAACTCACCATCTGAGCAGGGTTTGGCAGATCTGTCATCTGCGTAGAGATGCTTAACGCGCTGAATTGCGAGACATTACTGACTCTTGAAATCCCTGAGATACCGGAAGCGACAGATGAGGACTGCAAACGACCGATTAATGAACATCAGCTTTGTTGAAGAAATAAATAAGTACCTACTTTCAAGAAATAGTTTGAATGAACTAAATAAAGTTTTTTTCTATTTTAGCGATAATTATATAAATTTAAGTAAGATAAATAAGCTAATCCAGTAACGGCAGAGATACATAATAGCAATAACAGCGAATAACACGTGAACCAAAGATAAAGCTGAAGTCTAACCCTAGAAACAGGATTGTATCCCTGACGAATATGACTAACTCGATGATGTTCAGCATTCCACTGCTGTATTCGATCCAATTTACGCCTATTAATCACAGGACTGTTGCACGGCTGTTGTTGTTGCTGCTGATCATAGTAATTCCGGGATGACACAGTTTGAAATGTTCGCATATTGCTCGGCGGAGGATAACACAACCTACGAAAAATGATTATCAATTAAATACATTTGGAAAATTTTTATTTCTTTTTAGACAACCAATTCCAAATAGTAAAAGCACGACTTACTATTACAATAAACTTCTAAATTAAATTCAAAAAAATTGTGACCTTTTACAATAAACATGTTCCCCTTGAAACCCCTGTTACATCAAAGAGTTAAGAGCTAAGAATAAAAAGTTGGAAAAGAAAATAGTCTGCTGAAATTACAAGACAACTAAAAGTGCAACATTTTAAAACAAAACTTATAAGTGAATTATTTGAACAGAGAGGTAGAAAAAAAAGTGGAGTTAAAAAAATTTGAAAATTTCGTTTCAAGTCAATGAAACATAGAACAAATGATAAAAAGCTATACAATTATCACTGTATTAAGCATAAATAAAGCATAGATAAATTAAGTTATATAGAATAAAAACCTGGAGTTACTGTACACTGATGACGAGTACAAATGACCATTGGTGGACTGCATGATCGGTGCAACCGGCATCACCGGCTTTAGGCCACCTTGTGACGACTGGTTGAACGATGTTGACGGACTCGGCTGCTGTGGGCCACCACCGGCTACTGCAACCTCATCAGCATTCATTAATGCCTGTGTCATCGGATAGACGTTTTGCAGTTGATATAGATCCATCACATTTCTTGATGATGGAAAAAAAAAACAAATGAATATTAGTCACTTTTGACATAAAGAATTACCAAAATCAAAGCAAAGAAAAATAAAAAAAAAGGAATTCGCAACTATTAAAAAGGCTCACAAAGCAGGCAAATACAAACAAAGTCATCTAAACAACGATAAAAAAAAATAGAATAAAATAAATAGAACAAAAAAGCAACAAGAACGACAAATATTATTACAAATATCAAGAATCCCATACAAACTTTTTTTTTGATTTTTTTTTTCTTATTCTGTTACTATTTCGTAAAATTACAACTAAAACAACAGCGCCAAGCTAACATCATTGCTGCAGTAAGGTAAAACCCGAAAAAAGCATCAATTCAAATCATCGGCCTTCAATTTGCTGTCTGGTCGACAAATCACAGATACAACAGAATAATTCTCAAATGTTTATCCGTCTATCCTGCCCAACCATTCAGTTTAATAAATAACATAACAAAATTAAACCAAAGTATCAAAATCTGAAATATGTCTGAAACCTGGCATTAATAAATGTTCAAATTAAACATTTACTAAGGTTTCTTCAATTCAGTAATCGTACACTGATATCTTTAACATATAAATTTCATCTAAAAAAGATTTATATATTTCAATTGAATAAACGCCAAAAAAAAAGCAGAAAATTTACTAATAAAATGAATTTCAAGTTGACCAAACGTCAACTTGTCGTTATTAAACACTAACCTCAAAAAGAAAAAAAAAACAGAAGAAAATGTTTAACAAAAAAAATCCACCAAAATGCGGCAGTAAAAATTTTGAACAAAATAAACAAACCGCTGTATCGGATTAACCGATGACAGCCTCATTGAGATTAAAGCAAATACATATTAATGAAACTCCTTTGCCGATCAACAACAGCAATTTATCCTCCAAAAAACTTCACTTACCCCCTTACCCATAATCCATCTATCCACAAGTCCATCCAACTATCTATCTATTCCTGCTTTCAACTATCAAATACCGAAGATATGTATGCCGTAAAAATTTTGAACAGAGCACAGTGCTAAAAATTTAAAAAGAAGAAAAAAAACAGATGCTGTGGAACAATTTCGGTAACTGGACATTTGCAAACAACCAAAAAATTTGTGTTAGGAACAAAATTAGACGACAAACTACCAACTCTGTTGTCTTGTTTTTTTTTTTCTTTTTGCCTTTTGCCTTTCGCCTTCAAACATTTCTCTAATGCTGCTAATGTCTGAAAGAAAAAACCGAAACAAAACACTCAAAAATGCAAACTAATGAGCATTTAGATTACCACTTTGAAATGCCATCGATCAACATACATTCCAGTAATTATGTTGAAATCAAATAAAAACAGAAAAAGAATGTCCGCATAAACATCGTACAGTTTACTAAAAGCAAACTATCACCATCCAAATTAAATAAGTATTAACAAGAGAGAAAACGCACAAATAAAACTCTTCAGTATATACAGATGAAAATCTTCAACCGCCTCCTCAAAACAACACCGTGTTGATCTTCTGCAGTACCAAATACATAAACACAGAATCCTAATCGCAATAAAGCCACAAAAAACGTCAATTTTACTCAGCGACAATGATTGCAATCTAAGTCTACGGAACAGAAAGATGACAACGTCAGACGTCAATGAGCCCAAGAGCAATGATGAGAAAAACTGATATTTAAAACATCCAAAGTCAATTAGATTTCACTACAAGCATACCAGTGTCTTCTGTGACATCAAATTTAGACAACCCACTGAGGACTCTGATGAAGAAAGCAAAACGAACGAAAAGAACGTGCGTATGGGATGTGGAAACCAACAGTTGAAATTAATTTCTGCTCAATTGGTTTTTAAGTGAAAAACTACTAGAAAAAAATAGTCGTAACCGGAGCTTGCCACAGGATTAAATTGGCTTGCCATGAATGTATCCGTTTTCGCCACCAAATCAACAAACAGTTTGTACGTCTCTTCTTTACTGAACGACGGAATGGCAGCAAAAAACCAACATTTTCTACAGCCTCTGGAAAAATTCAACTATCAAACCCCAGCCTTTTAAGGGTTATACTCTCACTCTAAAACATCTAATCCACACACTGCGTAGACGCCTTCTGAAACTGTATATAAAACAGATCAACCATAATTCTACAAATATGTACATGCGCAAATTTTTGCTTACAAAAAGCCTTCTGTTGTCATTTGATGTACCGTTCGGTGAAAAGCACGGTAAACTGATGGAAAAAAGTGCAGACAGACACACAAACAGATAGACAGATTCATTGGAAATCATCATATGCTACAAAAATCCAAACACAACTTTCCAGTCATCCACCTATTTATTTATTTCTTTCCTTTTCTGTTTCCACCTTCCCAACATACGATTGGTTTTTGACGAGAATTGCTATACGCTGGACAATACCCGACTCAAATTGCTACAGAACAAGTCTGAAGATCTATTAAAATGTTCAAGAATGAAAATAAATAGCAAAAGGTACTGCTATCGCTAACAAATCATATCACCCATTCATCCAATATTCAATTTTCATCTCAGATGCTTCAAAACAGCTCGCTTTTGGCCTTTAAATTTCTGAATCCTGTTTCAGTTCAACTACAATCAGGAACGCACTTGCCTCGCGAATAAACCAATTTAACTCTCATATTATATAATGCTTCTATGACTAAAGGTTGATGAAATCAACAAACAAAATACATTAATTCTATCTTAAAAAATGAATTCCTAATTTGAACAGTGCCAAACCTATCACATAGTTGTTTGCATCACAGTTCGCCAATAACACTGTAATTGGATAAGCGTATATGTTCCTC